CATTTAGTTCTTTAACAGCCCCATGAGATAAGAGGTGTCATTTGAAGAAATTGAGGCTTAAAGAGGGTAAAGAACTGCCCATGGTCTCAGGTGTGTAAAGGACAGCCAGGTGTCTGGCTGGCTCCAGAGCCCAGGTATTCCAGGATACCATGCATTGTTAGCCTAGACAGTCCAGCCCAGAGAGAGCTGGCTTACCCCCGGGGCACTCAGGAATTCACTGGTGGCGCAGTGCTTAAGGGGCTTCCCTGGTGGCTCAGTGGTCAGAGAATCTTCCTGCCAATGTAGGAGATACAGGTTCGATCCCTGGGTTGGGAAGATCTCCTGGAGAAGGAAATGGCAACCCACTCCCGTTATTCTTGCCGGGAAGATTCCATGGACAGAGGAACCTTGGGGTCTCAGAGTTGGACATGACTGAGCCACTGTGCATGCACACACGTCAGTGATTAGGACTATGTGCTCTCACTGCCAAGGGCCCGAGTTTGAACCCGGGTTGGAGAACTAAGATCCCACAAGCTGTGAAGAGTGCCCCCACCCTAAAAAATGAAGAAGCAGGCACAACATCCAAGACTCAAATCATCATGGATCTCAGATGAAAGGGACCCTTGAACCCCCCAGGTGACCTTCCTACTCACTGTGGGAACTCTCTCCATACTGTTCTGAGCAGGTGGGGGTGCAGTGTCACCCAGGCGGCCCCCAGGATGGATGCTCTCTGCCCCCCCAAAGTGGCCCCTTCCACTGCTGGGTTTTCACACAGTCACTGCAATGTACTTTACACGGTTCCCAGCCCCCATCCCTTCCCATCCTCCGCACTCTGGACCTCACTTCAGGTTCTTCATGTCCTGGCAGCACACAGTGTCCAGAACAGGTTGTAATTTGCCCTATCAGGGAGGGTAAGCCAATGTAGACATGTGCGCTGACACCTCCCCTTGGGGCGGCTGTTGGTGTGTGTGGAGGCCAGTCTTGGGGGGCAGGGGGGTCGGCCTGAGCGGTGGAGTGAGGCGCTGCACCTGCTGGGCTCGGCCCGGTGCCTCTAGTTCCTTCTCAAGGCTGCCTCCTCCCCACCAGGTGGAACCAGCCCAGTGGGCGATTACACTGCAGTTCACCCATAGGTCATATAACCGCCCTGTCTCAGTCTTTCTGCCCCCAGTCTGCGGCCAAGATCCTGCCTGTGGCAAAACCCAGTCGTTTGGCACCCAGACACCATCAGTCCTAAGATTTATATGCATTCGCTGAAAATTCGTGTATCACCTGTACCGCCCTGCTCTGGGGCGGGGGGTGATCATATGACAGCGATGAGCAAGAATGTGGCCCTTTCCTCAGCTTTGATAGGCTGTGCTAGCCCTCTGTTCTGGTTTTTCTCGAAGGTTAGGGACAGAGCAGATGATCCACTAATATCCCAGCGGGGGTCCAGCAGGCATGCCTCTGATCACGCTTAACTGTTCAACGGCCTGTTTCGGTCCTAACACGCCCCCAAGTGGCTTCAGATGGCGAGCCGGTTCAGATGGCGCTAGGTTGTGGAGATATGGCGCCCCCTACTGGCTCCCTTGGTCTTGCGGCAGCTCACTGCTCTTCCCAGAATCACATCTCTCTTTCTTTTTTCCCACATACTGATGTATGTACGTATGTATTCATTTGGCTGTGCCAGGTCTTAATTGCAGCAGGCAGGATCTTTAGTTGCCGCATGTGAACTCCCTGGTCAGGGAACAAAGATCTCAAAAGCTGTGTGGCAGCTAAAAAAAAATAATAAATTCGATGGCAAGTTGTAGAGGTTTTATTTTTTTGTTTGTTTTGCCTGCCGCGCAGCTTGCAAGTTCTTCAGTAGGCCCCAGCAGTGAAAGTGCAGAATTCTGACCAGATTGCCAGGGAATTCCCTCTATTAATATTTTAGAACAAGAACCTGGGCTCCACAGACCATCCCAACGGGGGTCTGTGGATAGAATTCAGGGGTGAGAGTTCATGAACTTGGACGGGAAGATGTTATGTCTCGGTTGTCACTGTCCTCTCACTGAAAACGTAGTAGTTCCTTCCGGTATGCATAAAGGCAGCAGAACACAGTAGCGTTGGGAGGGCTTGGACGTTGTCGCCCATGGAATGCACGGGTATTCCCATATTGTACTACAGTTGTTGCAGATCTTTTCAAATATAATTTTCAATCATTGCTTTGAAATTACAGTAGTCATCCAGCTCATTGCTTGCTCCTATTTAATGGGTTAACAAAGAAGCCCATTGATTACTGTTTATCACAGTCAAAAATATATTTGATGATTGTATTTTAATATAAGTAATTTGCTTTGAAGCTCTATATATTTTATGTTGCGCGTTTGTTTGTTTTTTTTAATTCTGAGAAGAGGGGGTGGGTTTTGGCAGATGTTGAAGAATTCAGAGCACAAAAGTGTGTAGAAAAAAATTTGAAAAAAAAAATTTGGTGGGGGACTTCACTGGCAGTCTAGTGGTTAGGACTCTGTGCTTCTACTCCAGGGGTCACAGGTTCGATCTCTGGTTGGGGAATTAAGAACCTGCTAGCTGTGACACTCGGCCAAAACAAAGATACGAAAAAATTTTTGGTAGAGCTTGTGGATAGACTGGATGGATAAGGGAGAGGAAGGGAGGGAGGAATCAGAGCTGATCCCCCAGTTCGTGGTCTGAGTAGTGGTGGGTGGAGGACTGGTTAAGGTTCTCATGCAACTCCTCACTGTGAGACCCACACAAATGGCGATGCATTTCCCCATCTTTTCCCTCTCCCTGCTGATTCAGAAAGAAATTTGCAGACCTCTCTTTCAGCCTTCTGGAGATAAAAGGGGGTTTCTCCTGAGAGTCACACGCCCAGGGAGACAAGAGTTAGCAAATCTTTTTATTCTTATTTATTTATTTTAATCAATAAGCTGAGAGTTATATAAAATCAGAACAATGCTACTGACAAGATTATTTCTGGCCTTACTTTTTGGATTCAGTTCAGTGGACACTTAATGGCTTTCCAGGCTCTACTAAGGGTGAGATGGTGGTGTTTAGTCACTCAGTCGTGTCCAACTCTTTGCGAGCCCATGGACTGTAGCCCGCCAGGTTCCTTTGTCCCAGGGATTTCTCAGGCAAGAATACTGGAGTAGGTTGCCATTTTCTTCCCCAGGAGATCTTCCTGAACCAGGGGTTGAACCCAGGTCTCCTGCATTCCAGGCGGATTCTTTACTGCCGAGCCACCGCGGGTGCTGAGGGTTAGGGATACAAGTAGAATAAGACATGGCCTCTACCTTCTAGAGTTTCAGTGTAGTGGAGGAAATGAGGTCACAGGCACATGCACTGCATTCTGAGAAATGCAGCATAGAGCAAGGTGGGAACAGTTTTGTGGGGCCAAAGTTTATATAACTTTCAGGGCCTTTTAAGGAAAAGAGGACAGGGAGTTCTCTGGTGTCCCAGTGGCTAGGCTTCCAGGCTTTCACTGTCGTGAGCCTGGGTTCATTCCCTTGTTGGGGAACTGAGATCCCATGAGCCACACGACGTGGCCAAAACAATAATAAATAAATATAAAATGAAAACTACTGAAAGTACACAGATCATAAGTATACAGCTCAATGAGACTCACAAACTGAGCACACCCATATAACAGGTATCCAGATCAAGAAGATGAGTATGGCCAGGCCTCTAGAAGACCCTGAGGATCTCTTTTGGTCTGTGAAAGTGTTAGTGGCTCAGTTGTGTTCAGCTCTTTGTGATCCCATGGACTGTAGCCTGTCAGGCTCCTCTGTCCATCAGATTCTCCAGGCAAGAATACTGGAGTTGGTTGCCATTCCCTTCTTCAGGGGATATTCCTGACCTAGGGATCGAACCTGGGTCTCCTGCACTGCAGGCAGATTCTATATGCTCTGAGCCACACATGCAAATGGAATTTAAAAATCCAGGTGTAGCCAAGGTTGGTTCCTCCTGAGGACTGGAGAAAAGGATTTGTTCTGGGCCTCTCTCCTTGGCTTGCAGATGACCACCTTCTCCCTGCATCTCTTCATGTCATCTTCCCTCTATCCATGTTTGTCTTTGTCTGCAAATTTCCCCGGATTATATGGATACTAGTCATATTGGATCAGTGCCCACCCTAATGACCTCATTTTAACATGATCATCTGCAAAGACTATTTTCAAATAACATCACCCCTCTGGGGTTCTGGGGAGGTTAGGATTCCAACATATCTTTTTTTCAGAGGGTAAGGGGGGAACGACACAATTCAACTCATAACAATGCCAAAGAGTTTTCCTAAGTGATTGTACCAATTTAATCAGCCACTTGTTGTTCATTCGCTAAGTTGTGTCCAGCTCTTTGCAACTCCATGGACTGCAGCACGCCAGGCTTCCCTGTCCTTCTCTATCTCCTGGAGCTTGCTCAAACTCATGTCTACTGAGTTCGTGATGCCATCCAACCAATCCAACCATCTCATCCTCTGTTGAACCCCCTTCTTCTCGTGCCTTCAAGCTTTCCCAGCATCAGGGTCTTTTCTAATGAGTCGACTCTTCACATCAGGTGGCCAAAGCTTCACCTTCATCATCAGTCCTTCCAATGAACATTCAGGTTGATTTCCTTTAGAATTAATTAACTGGTTTGATCTCCTTGGAGTCCAAGGGACTCTCAAGAGTCTGGTCACTAGGGGCTGGAGTATTTTAAAGCTAATTTCAGACATGATATCATATGCCTTGGGAGTGTTTTAAAAGGAAGGAAGACTTGGTCTGATTTACATTTTTAAGCGATTCTATCTGTTCTGTGGGAATATAAGACAAGGCAAATAGCCCATCAAGAAAGAAAAGGTAAATAAAGAGTGAGCTTTCCTGTGATGACACAGGTAGGATGCTCAGGCCTTCCAGGTGCCCTCAGCTCAGGGGTGTGTCCAGCGACCTGCGCTCCATCCCTTGATGACTGGTGCCATCTGGTCCTGTGGAGCACCACTTGGGGTTTGGGGGATGCCGAGGGAGGAACTGGGCCAGGACTCAGGCTGTCTTTCTGTCCGCCCTCCTCCGTGCCAGGACATCCAGCAGCTCCTTCAGCTCCAGCAGCTGGTGCTTGTGCCAGGTCACCACCTCCAGCCACCTGCTCAGTTCCTGCTGCCGCAGGCCCAGCAGAGTCAGCCAGGTAAGACCCCCTACCCTGGACGGCCTCCCCCGACACCTCCACATGGCTCCCGATGCCCCCCCTCACCCCGTGTGGTCCCTCTTGTCTCCCCAGGCCTGCTACCGACACCAAATCTATTCCAGCTACCTCAGCAAACCCAGGGAGCTCTTCTGACCTCCCAGCCCCGGGCAGGGCTGCCCACACAGGTGAGTGGTCTGCTGAGTGCTTCGGGGTCGGGTGAAAGGTGTGAAGTTGGAGGAATGAGGGTCTGCTTCCCATTTGGCCCACCCACAGCCATGGGGGCCAGGGTGGGTGTCGGGAGCCTCGGGCCCAGCGCTGTTCTGCCACTGATTTGCTGTGGGACCCTAGGCAAGCTGCTCTCTCTGTCTGAGTTGGCTTTCTCCTCCACAGAATAAGGGAAGTCAACCAGAACAGTGGCTCTTAACCCTTGCAGGCACATGGGTTCCTTGGAGAACCTGATGGAAAATTTGAGTCTGACCTCCCACTACCCCCAAAAAGGCACACGTGCACAAACACAAAATTTCAGGGGGTTCACAAGCCTTTAGATCATAAATGCTTCAGATCTCCTCCAGCACTCCAGTGGGGTGGGGGGTGGGGTTCCCTGAGGAAGGCGTCTGTTGGTTCATGTCCCCTTCCCAGACCAGAGACTGCAAACGGTGGCCCTCACTCACTGAAAAATTGAGTTAGTTGTCAGCAAAATTCCAAGATTCCCAGCTTCTTTTGACAAGGCAGAAGCTATGGGAAGGCTGGATCTGCATTCAGAGGGTCTGAGCACAGGCCCCTTCCCGCATGGTGTGAGCTCTCCAGGCTGTCTCGTCCCCATGGCCTTTCTTTTAGTTTGCTGCCTGCGTCTAAACTTTGATCATGCGTGCATGCTCAGTTGCTTCCGTCATGTCTGACTGTGCAACCCTGTGGACTGTAGCCTGCCAGGCTTCTCTGTCCATGGGTTCTCCAGGCAAGAATACTGGAGTGGATTGCCATGCCCTCCTCCAGGGAATTTTCCCAACCCAGGGATCGAACTCGCTGTGTCTCCTGTGTCTTCTACATCTTAGGCGGGTTCTTTAACGCTGAGCCACCCGGGAAGCCCCCAACTTTGATAATACTCTTTCATACTCTTTCATAATTACAATTTCAGAGTTCCCTCCTACCTATTTTTCAAAACAGCCCTCTCAAAAAATATATAAACTATTTCAGAAAACCTGAAAAGTTTAGATACTAATACAGGGCTTAGTTACAATACTAGAATCCAAAATGCTCAGAAAATCAAGTTGCTCTTGTAATGTGGCCACCGGAAGTGATTTGGCTGCAAAACCTGTCTTAACCTGAATTGAGGCAGCGTATGACTTCTTTATCCCTCTTGTGTGATGTTCACCCTTAGCTGACAGCTGTTGATATGTCTGAATATAGGGTAATGCCTTGACCCTAATTGAGGGAGAGTTTACCTTATCTGTGATATATGCCCCATGCAGACTTTCTAAAACCTGAAAATTTTCTGAATTCTAAAACACATTTGGCCCTGAGGTTTTTGGATAATGGATCAAGGACTTGTGTGTCCAACATCCCTGAACCCACCACCTGTTTAGATGTTTCATTTTTAGGGAAACGAAGCATTCCAGAGAGAACTGTTGCTTCCTTGTAAATTCCCCTAGTGTCCCTCCCTATTTTTTTTTTTAATTTTTAGTTTATTTGCAGCCTAGTCATTTTTAATTGGATTCTCCCAACAACCCCATGGGGTAGGTAGAGTAGCCCGTGATTGTTCCCATTCCGCGGAGGGAGAAACTGAGACCCAGGGAGATTAAGAAATTTGCCTGAGTCCCCAGCAACTGGATAGCGGAGCCAGTCCTTGATTTCCTGCCGGAGAGGAGGCTACAACAGTGAACCCCCATGGAAAGAGCCTTTGGAGGAAGGAGATGGCTGCAGGCCGGGAGGGAATGTGCAGAGAATTTGGGGCAGTGAGAGCGCCCTTGTGGGGCAGCAGAGGTCAGCTTCTGAGTGGGGAGGAGCCACCTGGGGGCGGTGGTGGGGAGTCTGCAGGGAGAGTCTGAACGGCAGGGAGGGAGGGGGACTGAGCAGCCAAGGCTGAGCCCCATCCTGGTCCTCGGCCGTGCATCCCACCCACCTGCCCACCCCACCAGGCCGTGACCCGCCCCACGCTGCCCGACCCGCACCTCTCACACCCGCAGCCCCCCAAATGCTTGGAGCCACCATCCCATCCCGAGGAGCCCAGTGATCTGGAGGAGCTGGAGCAGTTCGCTCGCACCTTCAAGCAACGCCGCATCAAGCTGGGTTTCACACAGGTCTGAGGCCGCCCGCCAGGATAGGCGGTGGGCGTGAGATGACAGGGCGGCGGGACCCTCTGGTGGCGGGAGGGGTGGGGCCTCGTTATCTGGTGGGCGGAGTAGAGGGCGTGGCCAGATGGCGGGCGGAGTGAGGGGCAGGGATTGTAGAGGCCTAGTGGGTGGGGTGAAGAGGAGGGTAGAATCATCTAATGGGCGGGGCTGAGCCTTCTGCCCGGCCCTGACCGGCATCCCATCCCCGCCCCACCGGCCCAGGGTGACGTGGGCCTGGCCATGGGCAAGCTCTATGGCAACGACTTCAGCCAGACGACCATTTCCCGCTTCGAGGCCCTCAACCTGAGCTTCAAGAACATGTGCAAACTCAAGCCCCTCCTGGAGAAGTGGCTCAACGATGCAGGTGGGACTTGGGCTGGGGTTCCCGCGCGGGCGGCAGGCCAGGGAAGGCACCCTCTCATGCCCCCATCTCCTCCCGGACACAGAGACTATGTCTGTGGACTCAAGCCTGCCCAGCCCCAACCAGCTGAGCAGCCCCAGCCTAGGTTTCGACGGGCTCCCCGGCCGGAGACGCAAGAAGAGGACCAGCATCGAGACAAACGTCCGCTTCGCCTTAGAGAAGAGTTTTCTAGCGGTGAGGTCCCAGCCCCCGCCCCGGGCGGCCCCGAGGGCTGGCGACAGGATGCTCCCAGGGCTGACGAGTTCTCTTTCCGCAGAACCAGAAGCCTACCTCAGAGGAGATCCTGCTGATCGCAGAGCAGCTGCACATGGAGAAGGAAGTAATCCGCGTCTGGTTCTGCAACCGGCGCCAGAAGGAGAAACGCATCAACCCCTGCAGCGCGGCCCCCATGCTGCCCAGTCCGGGCAAGCCGGCCAGCTACAGCCCCCACCTGGTACCAAGAGCCCCGCGCGGGGAGGAGGGGTCTCCGAGCTCTGGCACACTCTCACCCCTTGGCGGGCACCTCCTGTGAAGCATAACCTACCTGGTTGTCTACAGTGTTCCCAGAATGGGTGGAGGCAGGGAGAGCCACCCTTGGGGACAGGCTGTTACATGGGTGGAGCACAGTCACACAGGGCACACTGTTCTGACGGAGATACAGGCACCGCCCGCACACACTGGCATGGCCACACACAGAACTGTCCCCAGGTGCAGCCACCCAGGGACGGCGCAAGGTGGAGATCTCCCCTCACACAGACTGGACAACCACTCAGACCCTGGCAGGGGCGTCAGTACAGCCCTGGTTGTGCACGGGACATCCCTTTTTCCCACCTAGTGTGGAAGGGGTTGTGACACTACCGAGAGAGGCAAGGGGCCCAGAGGAGCCCCCACCCAGGGATGTGAAGGAAGGAGGGACCATCTGAGCTGAGTCATGAGGACAAGAGAGAGTGAGCCAGCCATGTGGTGGACAGGCAAAGGGATCTATGTGCACAAAGGCCTAGAAGCCAGAGTGTGCTGAGCCCAGTTCGAGGAACTCCAGTGCAATTTAGTGTGGTTGGAGCTGGAATGTTTATGAATGAGTGTCGGGGAGGGGTGAAGGATAGGCAGGGGCCAGATACCAAGTCCAGTGCTGAAGAAGCTTTAACCTGAACCACAGGCAGTGAGGCACTCAAGATGAGTTTGGAGCCTTAGAGGGACTGGCTCACATTTAGAGTGAAGCTTCTGGGATTAGGATGAGACTGGAGGCAGGGAGGCTAAGAAGGAGACTGGTGGATGGTCCCCCCACAATCAAACAATATAATATCTCAACACTGTGATGCAGAGATACACCTTATGCTCCTAACCACCCACACCCCACCATGTGAATGTACAGAGACATGCATGCTTCAGACCTGCAGTGGGGCAGCGTCGGAGGAGAGGCAGGGAATGACTGCCTCCTGTCGGTGGCCTAGGATCACCTAGGGCAAATGTGACGAAAGCTGATGGAAAGCCCCTGGCATGATAGAAACACAGCCTTGCAACCACAGCCCCTTTCCCCACCCTGGAGGCACAGGTGCAGGGGTGGTACCCACAGGAAGCACAAGGAAGCTGCTGGAAGACAGTGCCTTCTCTCCTCTCTCCCCAGGTCACACCGCAAGGGGGCGCCGGGACCCTGCCATTGTCCCAAGCTTCCAGCAGTCTGAGCACAACAGGTCAGAGGGGGCAGTGGGCAGTGACAGGGTGCTGGGAGAACGCAGGGCAGGCTCGAGCCTGAGGTCCTCAAGGGCATGTTGTCTCAGGGCATCTATGGGCCTCGAGACTGAGCCTGGAGGTGGGGGGTGGGGAAGAGGGCAGACTCACCCCTACCTGCCAGAGCAGCTCAGGCTTCATCTGCTCCATAATTTCATATGAGAAAAGCAGGAGGCTGATAAAGGTGATGTGTCTGGGTTCTGTTTCTGTTATTTAGAAACTGTGAACTTCAGAAGCAACCTTACCTCTCTGAGTCTCAGTTATAAAATTATTATGAATGTATCATATATACAGAAGCTATATCCATAAATATAGACATAACAAAAGTGTGTATGCAGATACACACCTTTGTACCCAAAGCCCTCCTTTGTTCCTTCCTGGGGTGCGTGTGTACTAAGTTGCTTCAGTCGTGTCCGACTCTTTGTGACCTCATGGACTGTAGCCCGCCAGGTTCCTTTGTCCATGGGATTTCCCAGGCAAGAATACTGGAGTGGGTTGCCCTGCCCTCCTCCAAGGGATCTTCCCGACCCAGAGAACGAACCGGCGTCTCTTAGGTCTCCTGCATTGGCAGGTGGGTTCTTCACCACTAGCGCCACCTGGGAAGCCCCCTTCCTGGGGGTAGGGCATGTGTAACACCATATATAAAAATAATACAAAAACAAACCCCAATTGTCCCTCCTCAGGTTAAGAAATAGTAAGTGGAAGTTTATAAAGTAGTAAGGGTGTGCCTGGTTCTAGGTCTAAACTCTTATATAATGAGTGTTGACTTCACACCCATTTTATAAGATAGATTCTGTTATCTTCCCCATTTTCCAGATGAGGGAACTGAAGGCCAGAGAGGTGAAGGTACTCACCCAAGGGCACAGCTGCGATGTTGCAAAGCTGGGAATTGTCCTGGGTGTCTGACCAGAGTCTACGCTCTGGGCTCTCTCAGCCTCGGGATGCACAGCTGCACCCCCTTCCTGGCTCTGAGAGGGAGCCATAGGGGTCTGTCCTCTGGGCACCCCTGGTTCTTTGTACAGAGGGGCCTGGAGGTGAGATTCAGGGCTGGATAAGCAGGGTGTGAGCACACTCTGGGCTCAGGGCAGAGGCCCGGCGGGTGGCTGCTGCTCGTGCTGGGATTGCTGTCACCATGCAGAGGCTGTGGGACAGAAGGGCGGGAGGCCTAACTGTGCTCTGACCAAGGAGAGGGTGCGGGACTGGGCAGGTGTCAACCTCAGTGGAGGACGAGTGGAAGCTGAAGTCTCCGTCTCTTTGTTTCTTTCTGGCAGTTACTACCTTATCCTCAGCTGTGGGGACACTCCACCCCAGCCGGACAGGTGGAGGGGGTGGGGCCGGGGGCGGGGCCGCGCCCCCCATCAATTCCATCCCCTCTGTCACCCCCCCACCCCCGGCCACCACCAACAGCACAAATCCCAGCCCTCAAGGCAGCCACTCGGCTATCGGCTTGTCGGGCCTGAGCCCCAGCACGGGGTAAGTGGGCAGCGGCAGGTAGGAGGCTGCGGGGAGAAGCAGGGTCAATGCTGCTTCCAGGGTGGGGAACTGTGCCCCCGATCCTGCGGGAGGGTCTCTGCCCCGCTAATGCCTCTGCTTTGCCTCTTGCAGAAGCACAATGGTGGGGTTGAGCTCCGGGCTGAGTCCAGCCCTCATGAGCAACAACCCTTTGGCCACTATCCAAGGTGCGTGCTGCCTTAGGTCACTCCCATTGTCACCAGCCCCGTCCCCCGGGGCCTGGAGCCCCCCCATTGCTGCTCCAGCCATGCCATCCTGCCCTCGCTCACTGCATCGCTCATCTCTTCATACCCATCTCGCCTCTGGGGAAGGCCTGAGGGGTGCTGACGGGGTCTGTGGGTTGGATGGGAGGACAGAGGGCACTGCGGGCGGGATGCTGGGAGGCACGCCCAGCCCAGCCTCTCTCTCTCCCTCCCAGCCCTGGCCTCTGGTGGAACCCTGCCCCTTACCAGCCTTGACAGCAGCGGGAACCTGGTGCTGGGGGCGGCTGGCGCAGCCCCAGGGAGCCCAGGCCTGGTGACCTCACCACTCTTCTTGAACCACGCTGGGCTGCCCCTGCTCAGCGCCCCGCCTGGTGTGGGTCTGGTCTCGGCAGCCGCTGCGGCCGTGGCGGCCTCCATCTCCAGCAAGTCTCCTGGCCTCTCCTCGTCCTCCTCCTCGTCCTCCTCCTCGTCCTCCTCCACCTGCAGTGAGACGGCAGCACAGACCCCTGGAGGCCCAGGGGGACCCGAGGTAGGGTCCAAGCCCGAGTGAGGGCCCACCATGCCTCCCCTCCGACTCCTCTGACCCCCCTGCCTCTGTCCCCCGCCTGGGAAGTGGGCGAAGAGGCCGGCAGTGGGGGCACCAAGGGTCCTCGGAGCAGGAGTGACAAGGGAGGAAAGACCAAAAAATAAAAAAATAAAAAGCAAAAGACCAACCAACAAACCAAAAAGAAAAAAAAGAAAGAAAAGAAATCAACCAACAGAAAAAAGAAAACCAAAAATAATCACAAAGAAACCAGCTGCCCCAAAGGAACCAGAGATGAAAAACAAACATTAAAAACAAAAACCAAAAAACAAACAAAAAGTTCCTCACCAAACCGAACAAACCAAATACCAGTCTGGAGCCAGACCTCAATGTGCTCACCCTCACTGCTACGACACCAAATAGGAACCCAGCCAGGGGCGTCACAGCCTCAGCAGGGCGGACCTTACTAGACCCCTGGCTGTCGGGCCAGGGCTCCCCTCTGCGGGGGTTGGGGGGTGGCCAGAGAAGGAAAAAGAGAATGTGCCAGCCTCCCAGCCTGTACCCCCTGCCCTGGGCCAGCCAAGACAGGGCACAGCCTGCGGTGGAGGGGGTGGGCTCAGAACTACCCACCAAATATTCTTTTCCAGAAGGTGAAAGAGAAAGGGCCTGAACAACCTTACACCAAATATTCAGTAGCTTCATCCAAAGGATGTACAGAATTTTTAGCGTTGTGCTCAACAGAATGTGTCCCTGTTGTGTGTCCCCCACCCCTTTCCTGGCCCCTAGCTCTCCCCGCCCGGGCAGGGGGTCTCGCTTTAACCTCCTCCCTCCCCCACCCAGGGGAGAGTTCAAGGCAAGGCCTGGGATGACTTTTCAGCCCTTTTACCTCCCCCGCCCTTTCCCTTTGAAGGGTGGGCTAGGCCATTTTGCCAAGCTCTAGCTCTCACATGTTTCCCCTACCCCCCCCCACCGCCCCCACCCACCCGTCACCTCACCCTCCTCTGCTCAGGAACCTCCCACTATCCCTGGTCCAAGGGAAGGAGGAAGTTTCAGACAAGAGAGGAGAAGGTGAGGGCATTCAAGTTGTCTTTTTTTCCATCCTCGTCTGTCAGTTTCCCTTAAAGAAAAAAAAAATTTCATATTCCAGTGCCTATCCGTGGGATCCTTCACGTTCTTTGACATTTTTGACCAGAAACCAAAAAGAGAACTCACCTCGCTCTTCCCACCCTGTGCCCCTCCGATACTGGCAGATGCCTCTTCCTCCCCCCTCCACCCCACATGCATACACGCACGCACCCCAGTGGTGGGGTTCCTCCAGATGGCGTCCCCATCAGGGTCCATGTGGTAGGGACAGTGCCATGGCCCGTGGTCCCCATCCGAGAGGGCGCTGTGGTGACCACCACTCCCACAAGACCTCCCTCGAAAGTCTTGGCTGGACCCCAGGTTTGCCCAGCCCCGGACGCATCTCGATGGACAGAGGAGAGACGCTGCTGGGAGCCACGTTGCCCTCCTGCTATTGGGGAGGCCAACAAAGTTTTGAACCAAAAAAAAACAAAACAAAACAAAAAACCAAACAAACAATAAATTAAAACTAGGAAAAAAGAAAGAATTTATAGATATATATATATTTAAGGGAAAGAAGATGAGGACTCTTCAACGAATAAGAAGGAGCCGCAAGGTGGAGCCAGGCCCCTGCACCAGTGGTCCAGGCCTTTGGTCCCCAAGGCGGATGGAAGGATGGATGCTTCTTTCTCTTCACAAATACCTCATGGACGTCGTCTTCGGGAAAGCTGGAGGGGGGCGGCTGGGGCCGGGCCTGCCCCTCAGCCAGGGCGGATGGAAGCGGGTGGGCAGGGCTGAGAGAGGGTGTCAGGGACGGGGGTGAAGAGCCCCAAGCTCCCTGCCTCCCCCCCCCAATCAACTGAAAAAGCTTTAAAAAAACAAAACAGGAAAAAAGAAATGAGAAAGCAAAAAAGAATGGACGAAGGAAAACTAACAAACTTTCGGGTGGTTTGATTCCTCCTTTTGAGTTCTTCTGTCTTCTTCAGTCTGTCCTCTCTCCCATCTCCTCCTTTCTCTCATCTGTCCCTCCCTCTTCCTCCCCTCCTCTCTCACCTCTCTCCATCTCCTGTTTCTGTGTCTCTCCTCAAACCAAAGTGTTGCTGTGAAGGACGCGAGCCATTGAAATCAGAGTGGCCCCCGCCCCTGGCTGGGCAGGCGCAGAGGGAGGAGAGAGCCCCAGGAGCCTGGCGGGGCTGCCCAACACTCCCAGGAGAGGCAGACGGAGCCTCGGATGCCACCCTGGGCCCCGAGGCCTCAGCGTTCTCACTTTCTTTCTTGTCTCCCTTCTCCCACTTGGGAAATGAAACTTTCCGGCTGGGCCACGGAGGCAGCAGAGACTCAGCTGTTTCAGGGGTCTCGGGGTGCCTTGTCTGGGAAGTGGTGGAGTGGTTGCCCCTCCCACCCTGGCACCGATGGGACCTGGCATGCCGTCAACCCATCCTCGCCAGAATGTAAGCATCTCCGCTGAACCTACTCCCCGCCCTTACCCTACCTCTGAGTTTGTCCGTTTTTATTTCCTGAAGAGAAGGGACTGGCTAGCGGGCCTGGGCCCTAGCCCAAGGGTGGAGACGGGGCCACGGGCTCATGAACGGATAGGAAGGATGTTTGAGCAGAGCCAAGTGAAAGGATTTGCAACCAAAAACCCCTCCGAGAAGACAGGCAGCATGGAAGGCATGGTGGAGATGACTCAAAAAACTATGATTCTAGACCAAAAAATAGAAAAACAAGAAAAAGAAAAAAAAAAAAAGAAAAAAAAGGAAAAAAAAAAAAGGAAAGAAAATCCAGGACTCACCACCACCCACTTCATCCTGCTTCCTCCCCATCAAGTCCTGCGACCCGGACTGCTGCTCCTCCTCCACCCCAGTACCCAGTAGGAAGCAGGCAGAGAGGAGAGGAGGAAGCAGGGGGCAGGGATGGGCCTATGCCCTGACATTGGTGGAGGGACCCCCGTGCAGCCAGGGTGGTGGGGACCCTCCCCATCCAACCCCCATTATCTGGGAAAAGAAAAAACAAAGAGAAAAAGAAAATTCCTGGGAGGGGGAAAAAATAACCAAATCCCAAGCTTTAACTACAGCTGTGAAACCAAATATTGGGAAGGGGGTGGGAGGGAGGGAGGGGCAAGTGTGCCCCAGGTCTCCCCCCTGGGCCCCCCTCCCCCGAGGACTCGAGATAAGGCACCAAATACCTCATAGAACTTTAATGTTAAAAAATGGAAACCAAATATCGTTGGCTGGGGGCCAGCCAGGGCAAGGGGCTGGGGGGCTGAGGGAGCCAGGGTTAGGAAGGTGATGGGGGAATTCATGCCCCCCACCTCCCTCTGCCCCTTCCACTCCAGCCTCCCCCGTCTCGACTCCGGGAAACAAAACTATCTCATCGTTTTTTTTGTGGTCTGTACAGAGCCTGTGTCCGTGTGTCTGTGTGCGAGCGAGAGAGTTGGGGGGCTGGGGAACTTTATGTGGGGTTGGGGAAGGAGACCCCAGGCCAGGTTCTGGGCTAGGGGAGATGTCTGAGGTGGGGGGCCAGGGGCCTGGGCTAGGAAGAAGGATGAGTGGACTGGAGAAAGTGGGAGCCCTCAATTTCTCCTCCCCAACCCTGAGCTCCTTACTCAAGGGAGGGACAGAGACTGGGTCTACCTAACGGTGGACCTTTTAATTGTGCCAAAAAAAAAAAAAATGCCAGTAACTAGAACACCTCTCTCTGGTCTCTTCTGGGAGGGTGGGGGCTGGAAGTGGGAGGAAGGACTTCGGGAGGGTAAGTGGGGTCAGTGGCGATGAAGAACCCAAGGCTCTGTATGAACTGGGGCCACGACCAGGAGGAGGGGTAAGGCTCTGAGTTTCCCGCATGTCTCCTCCCTGGGGAAGGCCAAGAGAGGGTCTCCAAGCCCTGCACCCTGGGAAGATGGGGTACGGGACTGGCCATGTGGTGAGGGCACCTCTTGAACTGGCTAGATCTCCTCCCCTACCCAAATCCCAGGGTGCCTCTCTCCCTTTAGCCCAGGGTAGGGGGAGCTGAGTGAGAGAGAGAGTGAGACAGACTGAGCAAGACTGAGACACGCGGGCCCCCACTGGCCTCCGAGTCGGAAAGGCAAGTGCGAGAGATAAAGGCCTCCAAGAGAAAAAAGAAACAAACCAAAGATTTAACCATTAAAAAAAAAAAAAAAAAACCCACAGACAACTCCGCTACCTTTTTATACGTTGGAAAAAAAAGTGAAAAAAATTAAAAAATTAAAATTAAAAAAAAATACACAAAAACTCCAAGCCGCAGTTCCTTCATGCGGTTTGAACTTTGACCTCAGCAGTCTCCAAAGCAAGATGACGATGAGAAAGGGGAACAAAAGAAAGAAAAAATAATGTATATTTTTAAGTATTTGTCCTTGAGATGTTAGCTCCTTGTTAAACAAACACAAAAAGGAGAGAAAAATCCAGAGAGAAGCGTTGCTGGGACGGAGACAACTATTTACTATGTCTGTGACCCCTCCCCTCTGCTTCCCCTTCCTCTCCTTTCCTCTGTCCCTGCTGTCCCTCCCCCAACCTGTCCCCCCAAGCCCAGGGGCTCAGTATTTATTTATTTATATGATTGCAGGGTGACTGGGGGCCTCTCTCAGCAACTTGTGGAGAGGCCCTTTGGATCATGGTAGGGTGGGGAAGGGGCAAGGGGTCTGGAGAAAAGCAGGAGCCTGATCTTTGGTCAGTTCCTCTCTGCCGGCTCCCTTCTGGCTTCTCATGGCACTGCTGCCACCTTCACCTCCCAAATCCAAGGCTTCACGAGGGCAAGGTGACCATCCCACCTTGTGAAGATGAACCTGGTTCAGCCCTTTCTGGGGTGGGTGTCTCTCCCCTTTGAAAGACCAGGTTCGAATGGGGAGGGGAAGAGGTGGCGAGTAGTGGGCAAGGGAGACCAGGGAGTCTTACCCAGACATGGAGCAGGCCCTGGAGGAGACCCGCCTCTCCTCCATTCTCCCCAAGTTAGCCCCCTTTCAGTTCTGTTTGTCCCCTGTGTTGGTAGCCCCTCCCCTCCCCCCCAACTCCCCCTCCCCCCGCCCCGTCTCTTCTCGTGGTAGCGGGTTAGCGTTTCAGTGTTCTTAACTCCAATCTGCTTGTTCATTGTACAATGTGCTTCTTTTAAGGCCCCATTTTTGTAACTTGAGTGTGTCATTCATCTGAACAACATCAAAAAATAAAAAATGAAAAACTGTACAGAGAGAAACACTGCCTGCTGTCCTTGGTCTCCTATCTTGGGAAAGGTGGTGGGGAAGTCAGGGTGTGGGGGTAGGTGTGGGTGTGCCTGGGAGGGGAAGGCTTTACGGCTGTTGAATGTTCAGAAGTAAGGCCTGAGCAATTTTTTTTCCACCAATTAAAAAAACAAGTCTGGGATCTTAGAATGAATTCAAATTCCTGAACTGAAATCTCACTTCTGGGGACCTCCCTTGCAATCCAGTGGTTAAGACTCCATGTTTCCACTGCAGGGTGCTCGGTTTCGATCCCTGGTCGGGGAACTAAGATCCCACGTGCCCGTGTGACACAAACAAAAGAAATAAATCTCTTAGGCCATTTTATAGATATGTGACCTTCAGTATGTGACCTTCAATGTCAGCATCTGTAACACAGGGACAGTATGTAGGATAAATGAGTACTATGAGAAAATCAGGAAGCCAGAGAGCAGTTCCCTACTTCCATCCACAGAGGACTTAAGAGACCATTTAAAGAGTTGACTTTGAAGTTGTCTGGTGAAACAAGATACACACCTGACTTCTTTTTCAGAATGACATTAGTGCTCTCACTCAAATTTCCATGCTTGTCATTCGGCAGGAACTGTTTCACACACCAGACCATGGGTTGAGCCCCAAGATCTCACTGCTGAAAGTCATCAGTGGGTCGTCTCACTGTCGTCAGGTCTTCCTGTCATCACTTTACCCTCTGAAGTGTGCCTGACACAGAGGTGCTGGGATTCTGTAAACTCAATAGCAAGGGACAGGGGAACAGAAGAAAAGAGTAGGAGAGGGGTTGATCATTTTGAAAGAGGACAAGTATTAGCACTTTGGGAATTCCCTGATGGTCCAGTGGTTAGGACTCTATGCTCTGCGCTTCCACTGGAGGGAGGCACAGGTCCCATCCCTGGTAAGGGAACTAGAATCCTGCAGGCAACATGGTGCAGCCAAAAAATAAAAAATTATCAGCACCGCACTGTTTTGGCAAGACAGAAAAGTGCTTCTCCAATTCTCAAGCCAAGTCAGTAGACAGTGGCATGTTGGGCTGGAAGACACGTCTTTTGTTCCAGTCCTCTGCCTGTAGGGGGATGCAGTCAGAACCATATAGACCTAAAAGGACTCTATCTCCCAGGCCAGTCTGTGACAATCACAGATGGCACATGCAGAGCACTCCGGAGCTGAACTTGGCGGCATCCGCTTGTGGCCCTGTAAATGTGCTCAACTGTTCCAAGCAGCCTCCCCTGTACGGTCATACTTGGGCCTCACACATCTTGAAGAACATGTTGTCACTAGAGGACCACCATTCTGTTCCCCTGAGTGCTCTGCTTAAGCAGCTTCTACATCTAACTAAAAAAATCTAGCAACGCAAGGTTCTTTGTAGAGTCTTCAAGTCACCACCACCAAAACTGCTGTGTTCAAAATGCAGATTCCTAGGTCTCATTGAGACAAGCTGCTGGATCCAAATCTCTGGGGAAATTCCCAAACATAAAGTTAAAGAGCCTTTGCCTGTCCAATTCAAACTCCAGCATCCAACAAGGGTTTGATTAGTGCATCTTCTTTAGGACCATGGTCCAAGTGAAGACTCTGGAAGTTTCAGTGGGGTGAACAATGACTTGTTTACATAAACATGTTTGTGCACATAAACTTTTCTCAATGAGGGAGTCTTAAAAAGTTTTCACTAATAAATGATTGTCTGGAAAAAAAAAAAAATTTTCACTAGAGGCTCTAGAAAGGAACCACAATAGAGGAAGGGTGATCCCTGCCCCCCAACACTGTCACAGAGCTTGCTTCTCTGCTGAAAGCATCTTTATTGTGGAGCCAACCAGAACCCTCAGGGTTTTTCCCTCTATTCCTGTCCCTTGATTCAGCCTGATTTTTATCTGGTTTTGCAAAGAGAAATCCTCTAATTGTTCTAAGTATTTATTTGACATAACTTTCTCGATGTTACAGCTCTTCTTGAAAGCAAGCAGTTTGAGAATGAATCTTTACTTGTAGATTAAGGGGCTCTGGCATGCTGGGCTAAGGTGGTTCGAGTCCTTTCTGTAGGGTATGAGGTTATTAAAAGATGAAGCCCACGATCAACACACTCTGGTAGAAAACAACGGCTTAACAGATAAGTGCTGTTCTTCATTAGGAGCTTTCAACTTATCAAAAGGCTGAGCGCTTTACCATTTAAAAAAATGAAGCCTAAGCCTAAGCCCCAGCGCCCAGACGGCTACAGGATTGCTGAAGGTAGTCAATCAAGAGCAAAGGAGAGGCGGAGGGGGCAGCTCTCAGGCCTCCCTTTCCACTGGTCTCAATGCAAAGAGCTTCCCTTTACCTCTCATTCACTAGGGTTCCAATAAGAATCCTAACAAAAAGACTGGAGTAACCCTGGGGGTGGGGCTGTTAGTTTTCTTGGTGTGGCTCTTAGAGACAAAGACTAGCATAGAAGCCAGGCACTTCCAGTCACACACTCACCATCTGTCTCCTCCACCGCCCTCCTCCTCAAGGATATAGAAGGCAGCAGAACTTAGAGGAAAGCAGAGGTGATTAAGTCAAATGAAACTATGCTGAAATTCAAGCTCTGCCCTGTGTGGGCTGAATGACCTTGGGTAAGTCTCTTCACTACTTTTGACTTCAGATTCCTTTCCTACAAAATGTTCTCTTCACGGGACCAGGGTGAAT